CCTTTTTTCAAAATCACCTCCCCTCCAATGTGGATTAATTAAATCAATAGCGTAAAATTCTAAGCCAGTTGGATCGTTAGAATGATAATCGGTAAAATGTCTTGAAAGATTATGCGTATTAAGTCCTTTCTTAATGTTGCGAATGTGTTCTCCTAATCTCGTTCTAAATTTTCTCTTCGTCCTGCCCACATAATATTTCTTGCAGGGACAAATTAGGAGATATATGACCCCTGTGGAGTTGCAACTCAGATTTGATTTAATTTTAAATTCTTCATCTCCATTCATATTGCTAAATTTTCTTGTCAGTATTGCTTGTGTGGGGTTGTTCTTACAACCTGGACATTTATTGCATTTATGAAAGCCAGCCATCTCCTGGTTCATTCTGGATGGTCTAACTTCCTTAATCGTTGGAGCTAGTATGGTTTTCAAACTTGGAGCTCTGGAATAAAAGATTTTTGGTTTATCATCCAATATGGTGCTCAATGTGGTATCTTCTTTTAGGACCTTCCAGTGTTTATTTAAAATATGTCTAACTCTTCCTGCTTGGTCACTGAATTGAGTGATAAATGCAGGAGCCTCAGTGTCAAAATTGGATATTTTATTTCTACTTTGTAGAGTTTCTTCCCTTGATAGATTCAGGGCTTTGTTCATGGCATCATTCAACAAATCTGAGTCATAACCTTTCTTCAAAAACTGACCTTTCATTTCTTCCATCTGATTTCTGCAAGTTTCTAATTCTGTGCAGTTCCTTCTTATTCTCCTAAATTGCCCATACGGGATATTGTCCAACCAGGATTTCTTGTGGTGACTATCCGAAGGAAGGAAACTATTGCAGTCTACTGGTTTTCTAAAGGTTTTAGTATTTATTCTTCCTTCTTTGATATAAATCTCCAAATCTAAAAATTCCACCGAAGATTGCGATTGAGTAAAAGTGAATTGTAAATTGTACGGATTAAAATTAAGATAGTCCTTAAATTCTGTTAGAGAGGATAAATCCCCTTTCCAAATAAAAATGCAGTCATCGATGTAGCGCCGCCACAGGACCAGGTTTGCACCGTATGTGGTATTGTTCCAAATAAATTCTTCTTCCCACTTTCCCATAAATAGGTTTGCATAACTAGGTGCAAACCTGGTTCCCATGGCGGTGCCATCTATTTGGAGGTAAAATTGTTTTTGTGCCCAGAAAAAATTGTGTCTCAAAATAAAGGCGATGGCTTGTACGAGAAAACTGATCTGGTCATTCTTTAGTTCCGAATATTTAGCAAATGAATGTTGGATGGCTTCACATCCTTGAAGATGTTCAATTATTGTGTATAGTGTATATGATTGCTTATATAATTAAGTGCTTGTATAATTATGTACTTAAGAGCATGTATTTATGTACAATTGTAATGAATTACTGGTCAATATGTCTTCTATTATCATTATTTATACAATATTATTATCTTTGGATATTTTTAAATAATTTTTAACTATTCTAATGATTTTATAAAAGAAGGTTTAAAAAAAGCTTTTCTGTTCCCAATTTGTTGTCTTGGCGAATGGAGGGTTAATTCAACAATTATATGCAATTAACCGATTGAAGTTAGGGAGTATATAAGAAGTTAATGCTCCTTTGATGCCATCCTCTGATGAAGTGATTTGAAATCACGAAACGCGTAAGGAAGGCATCCGACGATCATCAGTTCCTGAGAGAGAGATTTGGAACGCATAGCCGCAGTGAAACGCATGCGGAGAATACCCGGTGTCAGCTTAGCACGAGGCAGTCCTCCTCCTTCTCTGTCCGGCCGGCAAGAGAAAGTAACGTATATCTATCTTTTTTGGACCCTCAGTCTACTGTGACCCGGTAAACTATCCACCTCTCATATGTGGGACTGTTTTTCATTTTTATTACCGTTAGTCTTTATATATTTTAGTGTGCTGTTCAGAGAATAAAGTATTAATAAGTTTCACGTCTGCTGTACATATATTTGACTAACTTCAGACTTTTTTTCCATTTGCATTTTTCATTTGCATTTTTTCATTTACATTTTAATTATGCATACCTTCTTTATAGGGGTATGTTAGACATTTGTATCTGTGGTATTTGATTCTTATATATATAAGATCTTTACTATATTAACCCATTTGCAGCTGGTGGACACTACCTGCCTTACTATATAGGAGGTTTAGGTCCGATCAGCTGATATATTTGTATTTCATAAGGACACACTCAAGATCCATGTTACTTGATATTTCCACTGAGCCCAGTACATACTTTTTTGATTAATTTCAAATCAGCACCCTCCATATATATCCTTTTCTGTAACCTTTGGTGGTGGTTACTAATTGTACTAGTGGCACAGTGGTCTTTATCGGCTACTCTTATCTCAAGATTCTACTATATGAGGATTTCTTCCTAAATATAGCTATTTATTTAAGGTCCTATAAGCCCAAACAGAGCTTTTACAGGGCAATACAGCCCAGGGGCCATAGTCACAAGGCAAGAGGCCGGCCATTAGTCCTCTCCAGGCACAAGTGGCGAGGTTACTTTCGCCACACCCCTGTCTTGGCAGCTCCTAATCCAACTAAACGATTTCTTATAGATACTAACCTGAGGCGCTTTTCCTTTAAGTGTTATATATTCAGGGTATTATGCCTTTAAATTTCATATATCCAAGGTGTTATACCTTTAATTTT